AGAACATGGTAGTTTAGGGCTTAGGGTCTAGGGTTTAGGACTTAGGGTTTAGGGCCTAGGGTTTAGGTAGTTTCAGGGTGCGGCGTTTAAGAGTTTGGTGACAGGGTTAAGAGTTTAGCGCATAGGGCCTGGGGTTAGCACTTGATCCGGGAACTCATAGAGGCCCCAGAAAAGATCTGGCCCTTATACGGCTTAGTGTATTTCGGGTTGAGTGTACAGAGTTTGGGGGGTTCAGCTTGGCAATCCTTGGACTCGGCATTTTTTTACTATGAGCGTATGAAAGAACCCCAAGTCTATACCTTTACTAAGCATGCATGTAAACCCTAAACCCTAAGCCCTGAACCCTAAGCCCCAAACCCTATGTTGCCCCGGTAAACTTCAGAACCGCATGACCTCCGAACTTAAACCCCGAAAGGCCGAAAAAACAAAGTAGACCCATTGTCCACTTCATCAGGAACCCTTTCATCAGGAACCCTTTCATCAGGAACCCTACATAAGAACCACCTAAACTTAGCAAACCATAATCAACCCCTCACACACATGCATACCATCCATTTATCAAAGAGCCAACTGAAGGCACCCATCTGTTTTAAACTGACTTGAAACATCCTTGGCAAACCTCGTGAAAACCTGGAGCCGACAGTATGCTGGGCAAGCCTCGAAAAAAAAAACACTAAGCCCTATAATGCCCTAAAGACACCTACACAAAAGTAATGGAAGCGGAACACATCGGAGGCCTCGCCCACAAGGCATAGGCCACAGGAGCCATTGCCTTTCAGACTGAGGGCTCGGGGCTGCTCCGAGAAGTGATATCGTAGGGTCCTTCATAGTTAGAATAGGGTTTTGGGGGATGTTACACTATAATCATAATGATGAGTTTGTGGGTATATTCATCCATAATTTTAATAAGGAACCTCCCAAGGGGGTATTATTGGTCATTATTTAGGCCCCTTTTGTTTACGGCCGTGCCATGCGCAATTAGCACACCAGTTGTTCTCGGTGGTCGCACTGCCGAGCTGGCTATTGACAGCCCATTTGAACCTTTCAGGGGTGAAAACTGTCCTGAGGAAATGTTTCACTGCCTAGGCTTGGTTCTCGCCCAGAGCAGGAGAAACATCGGGTGTGGAGGAACCCCGTTTGGGGCCCTGCTTCTCGTCTAGAATAGGAGAATCATTGGGTGTGAAGGAGCCCCTCTTGGGGCTAAGGCGCCGCATCAAGCAGGTGTATCCACCAAAGGACAAGAAGCTCGCCACTGAGGCCAGTAAAGCGCTCGCAGCTGATAGTGCCAAGCCATTTGCTTCCGCAAAACCTGTAGGTTGAGGGCGGAGGGTTTTCAGTTAGCGTACTGTCTTGGGGGCGTTCTTTTCAAAAGGATCACAAGATTGGAGTGGGTCGGGCAAGGCGCGTATGTTCAACCATGATAGTCACCCGTAGCGAACCCTCTTCATACTGAAACAGTCTATACTCCTATAGGAGCCTTTATCGTAGAACCCTTCTATACCCCTTTTTCAGAACCCTCCCGCCTGTTAGCTGAAAGGATCCAAACAAGAACGCCACGACCAGGAGCCAGATCCCGAAAGAGACCAGGAGGTCAATGCAGCCTCGGCTCGCATGACTTGGGGTTGAGGGTTTAAAGTTTAGGGTTTAGGATTCATGGTTTAGGACTTGGGGCTTAGGGTTTGGAATTTTCCTATTAGTTTCGGGAGACCCCCCCCAAAAAGATCCCGCCGCAGTATTTAGGGTTTAGGTTTTACGTTTCGCCTTTGCCGATTATTCCCGGGAGACCAGCACCAACACCCACTTCCCTACACCCTAGAACCCTAGAGCCCGCAACCCTAAACCCTAAACCCTAGGGGCCTTGAAAGAACCATGTCAGTAGGACCAGGAAGCCGAAGCCGGAAAAGCTGCAACGATCACAGAGGAAGAACACAAGCTGCATCGCCAGGAGGCGCCAAAGAATCTGATAGGGCTTTGTAGTATGGGCTTAGGGTTTAGAGTTTAGGGTGTTACAGGCCGAAGAATCTGAGCGCATGCCGAAGACGAGTTGAAAGATTGGCTTTATGGATTTCGGATTGTGGGATCTAGGGTTCAGATTTTGGGTTTGGGGTACTGGGGCTTTGGGTAAGACTAAGGAAGCGTCTCAGGCATTAGAAAGTGTTATAGCAAGTTTGAGAATGCTTTGCAAAGATGCTGTTAAACCTGTAAGCCCCCTAGATCCCACTACAAAACCCTTAATTACTCACCTATAGAAACCCCCAAACAACTTTCGACATTGATATAGCAACCCCTAAACCCTAAACCCTCAACCAAAACCCGCCGAATGCTACGAAAGGGCCTGGCTCAGGACGGACGCCAAGAGCTGAGAGAGAACCAACTCTATCGGTGCTCCACCTGGATCGGCTTTTCCGGTGGTTAGGCGTTTGGGGTTTCGGGTTTTATAGGGTTAGGATGTAGGGTTTAGAGTGTAAGGCTTATGGGTTCAAGGGGCTTTGCATAGGGCTGCTCAGGTTTGACCGGGTTTATAAAAGCGGGTCCTCTGGCTCGGGGTTCTAGGGGTGGCTTCTTAGGGCCCAGGGTTCTCGGGGATTTACGGCCAGAGGTTTAAGGGACAGTTTAGGCTTTAGGGTTGGGGATACACTGCGCTTCCGACGTGAGGGAACATGCTTCTGTCGGAGAATGACCGAGGTCCATAAGGAAAAGTGAAGCACCTAGACGGAGCCCACTTCAGAGAACCCCTAAACCCCAAACCCCAGACTCTTTAACTTGCAAGGCTAAAATCCGGATTGTAGCCTGAATGCCCCGAAAAACCTTTGCAAACGGGCAGCGGAGGTGCCTTAAGAATTTGAACAGGGTTTTGATGTCGATTGCAGAAAATTCGAGGACCCAAAGGAACAATATTGCGAACCATTCCAACTCCTGCGTCACCTCCACAAGGTCCTCGTGACATTTAGGAACTGTCCCAAATGAGCAGCACGGAAAGCGCTTATCCGTAAATGTCAAAAGCATGCAACCCTTAACCATATAGTAGTAGCAATAATAGAAGCTCGAAGCCGTTATATCTACTCTCGCCATCACGCCAATGACCGGCGATGGAATTTATAAGACCGATGATACTGCTAAGAAGTATGTTTTAACAATGAAGGTATTCATAATGTTGGCAAGCATTACGAATATGACAGATGAACAATCCTAACAAGGTTCCATAACCTAAAAGGTCATATGGTTAAAACCATAAATGATGAAAACAGCATAATGAGCATGAAACACACTCAACATACGAAACAAAGTGTAAAGTGTCCATATTCATGAATTATTAAGAATCGCAAGAAAAATATATTGCAAAATGCAGATAGCAATAATAGAAATGAAAGTACAACAAATGATAATAATAATAACAACAACAATAATAATCATAATCATAGTCATAATATGAAAATAATACTTATGCTAATGATATTCATAAGTCATTCTATTAAGTGTAGTACTGAAATTGTATACATAATGTGAGCTATAACTATTACGACTATTGTTGACATTATTCTTAATACTTACATTGGCTACATTGTGCATAATGATATTCGCAGTATGAACCAGATAGTTTATATTGCCGTTTTAATAGTAATGAGCCTAATGAAACGATTATAGCTACTCTTGTCGCCATCACTATTATTATGAACATTCTTGTTGGTAAATGTTCTACGATCATGACCATAGACACAATCAAGACAACTGTAAACTTTACGGCAGAAAGAAACTGGTACTAAACCCATGCAGTCAATGACAATGACAACAGTAATGGTAATGGTAATGGCAATGGGAGTGATGGTGGTAATAGCCTTGGCAATGACAACCGGCATGGTAATGATGGTGAACATGGGAACGATAATCATGAATTTATGACGGGGATATAGATAATGACACAGCTAATGCTAACGGTTCTCAAATGAGAATGATAATGATAATGATAGTATATGATAGTGGTGGTACGAACAGTCATAGCAATCGTGATAGTATTAGTACCAGCAACAGCAAGAGTAAGAGTAACATCATTTATAGTTGTGATTCTATTCTAATCGTAATTGTAACAGCTTAATACGTGTCACTACTCTACATATATATATATATATATATTATACAAATAAATACATGCATATATATATATATATTTATATATATATGTATCCTAGCACGAAGCCTATTAGCCCTCCGGGCCTCGGATGAAGGCAACAGTGAACTCCAGAAGTGAACTCATCTCAAAGAGACCGATGAGGATCCAATATCTCAGCGGCACCTGGAGGTTTTCGGAGTTTAGGACTTAGGGTTTGGGGTCCGGGGCAGTCGGGGCAGGGGTTTAGATTAGGGTTTATTCATTTTGAGGTCAGGGTCTCTTCAGGGCTTGAGACTTTCCGGACCCTTTGAAATGAGATTCCCAGACGAAGGAGGAGCCCTCAACCTAGCACCCTGCTCTTCACTTCCTGAACGCTCAAACGCTTTGCAGTTCAGGGTTTAGGGTTTTTGGTTTTACTGCCATCCTCTCCGGAGCTCATGGCATGTACTTTCACAAAGTTATCCTGAACTCGAAACCCGACAGTCCTGACCTGGAAGCTCAAGAGTGGAGACACGAGCTCTTGGAAAACAGGTCCTCTCACGTACTCCGTGAAGGCCTCGTAGCTGCCGTACCTTGGGATTTAAGGAGCTCAGACTGAAGGCTTCGCAGTTTGGGGATGATGGGTTGCGGCTTGGGGCGTAGGGTTTAGGGATATGGGCAGTTGACGCCCCGGGTGTCTTTGACCGGGAGGGGCGTTGCGGGGTGGGGTTCGCACGGGTATTTTGGAGCAGCCAACTAACAAAGCCTGGATAAGTTGACCAGGATTGAAAATTTTGGTGGTTTCTAACCTAAGATGTGAAAGGGAACCCTGGGGCCCTCCAGGGGCATATAGCATCAGTGCATATTGAGCGTGCCTATCTTGTTGTGACTGTAGCAACGGATAGCCAGACGAAACAAAGTGCGCTGGGGGTGCGCCACATCGCATCCGACCTACGAGACAAGCTTTCGAGCAATGTCTTGGATGGAAGCGACGATAGCATCAACTTGGCTCAGCCATTCGTCCATTTGCTGTAGAGAGTTCAGCAGCAACGGGGCATCTGCTGTAGATCGCGTCCGGAACATGTTCTGGGGAGTCACCGTAGAACACGCATTGAGGATTTTGGCGCATATCATAGCATGGGCTTGTATTCTGGTCTGGAACCCTGTGAACTAATGTTAGAACTTACCCAGGACCCCAGAACCCTAATAAACCCTAAACCCCAAACCCTAATAACCCTAAACCCTAAATCCGGACCCTAAACCCTAGTAAACAATAAACACTGAAGCTTCAAGGGTACCATGCACGGATCCCGGCGTAGATGAATCTTCGGTCGAAGTCGTTGCTGCCTTGGTCTCCCGGAATGGCCCCACTACGGGGGTGCAGGGTTTAGGGTTTAGGGGTTTAGGGGTTGAGGGTGTAGGGGTTTGGGGTTTATGGGTTTGCTGGTTTAGGGTTTGCGGGTTTTCCAAACCTTTACTGAGCAACCCTTACCCTTAAAAGCTGTATAGTGACATAGTGAACACCAGAAAGTTGGAACATAGACTAAGTATGATTCATGCTGGGATTCCCTGTATCTTACTTCAAGGGCATGAGGATACTAATGTTCCAACTTTCTGGCTTCTACTGTAGAGGAACCCAAAACAACCAGGGGGGAATTCTAAACCCTAAAGCCTGGACCCTAAACCCTACAAGGGTACTGCTGCAAAACCAAGGCACAAGAGGCCAGGCTCAGATCAAATTTTCGGAGATTCGCCAAAAGCCTGTGAGTTTGGGGTTCAAGCTTCTTGTTAAGGAGTTTAGTTTGAGATACCATAATAAGGAAGCCATGTTTCTTTACTGCAGATCCCCAGTATGGTAACTTAAGCCGTAAACCCTTCTGAAGCCCTTTGAGATCCCTTCCAGGAAACCTTATACATCCCTGTTGTGTCCTTAAATTAGGTCCCTTAACCCCAAACCCTTAGGTAATCCCAAAAGAACCCGAAGCCTAACCCTCCTTTCTACTATAGATCCCTGGTTTATAGGAGCTTAAGATGTACGATACATCCCTATCATGGTAACTTCAGAAGTATTATAGCTCCCTACTCTGGTAACAAACCAAACTGGACCTAAACCCTAAACCCCGAAACCCTAAACCCTAAACCCCGAAACCCTAACCCCTAACCCCTAAACCCTAAACCCTAAACCCCAAAACCCTAAAGCCCCTTAAGAAGAGCCCAGAAGCTGGCGCTTCTGGCCGAAGGTCTTCCGGGCCTTTCGCAGCTTTTTTCAGCCGGGCTTTCAGGATTTAGGGTTTTGGGTTTAGGGTTTTGGCTTCAGAGTTTAGAATTTAGGGCCTGGGCTTGAGACTTTTCAGAGTTTAGGGTTTAGGGTTTAGAATGTACGATTCAGGGTTTTGGATTTAGGGTTTAGGCTTTTCCTTTAAGGTGCAGTAACCCCTTGGGGCTTGGGCTTCAGAGTTTTTAGGGTTTCGGGTTTCGGACCGTTCAGCCTTTAAGGGCTTCAGGGGCTTTGGGGTCAGGGAACCCTAAACCCTAAACCCTAACAGGGTGAGGCGCTTAAGGCTGGCTTAGCGGATGAAAAGGGGCACACCCGTAGTCTGCATCAAGGTCCTCACGTTTCCTGCAACATTTGCTATTATACATACATATATATATATATACATATGTATATATATATATACATAAATATAAACATATTCATATACACATACATATACATGTACATGTACATATACATGTACCATGTACATATATGCTTCAGAGACCAAGGCCCCCGGCCTGGTGGATGCAGAGAAGTATGGGAAGCAGTCCCAAGAACACAAAGATCTGCGAGGCAGGGACGAAGGTGTAGAGCAAGAAGTGTAAAATCTGCATGAACAGCAGCCAGAGCAAGATGATCCCAACAAGCACCTCAACCTTTGTTTAGGGGTTCAGGGCTTAGGGCTCTCTTCGGGAAGTAACTTTTCTATATCGACCACAGGTGCAAGCTTAGCCAAAAAATAGCTGAGAAAAGAAGTTCTGCCCGTGCCGAAGCATGACATAAAGCGGAGCCAGCACGATCTTTCCGTTCGGGTTCGCTTTCCGGAAAGCTGCCAACTCGAAGACACACCTGGGTGTTATAACCGACTTTGTGGAAGAGTTCAGGGTGTAGCGTTTGGCATTCAGCAAAACGAGACTATCTACCAAGAATTATCATATAGAGTCGAGAGAGCTGCTCACACTGCCCCCCACTGCAAGGGACTGGATGTACGGCTGGGATGAAGGGGGTTTGGACTCTGCCTCCGACAGCTCCGATAACGAGACAAGATCACCAAAAAAATCACCCAAGTCATTGGAATAGGTTTTCGTGGGGTACTTTTGTCGGGTCTTTGCTCCAGATCCAGGCGCCAAAGCCTCGTGAAAAGCGGAGGACTCCACAGAACCATGAGCTCCCGAGAGAGAGCCAGGAAACCTGAGGTTTAGGGCTTTGCGTTTCGGATTCAGGGTCATGAGGTAGTCGTGCATCTAAGTTTCCTGTGCTGCCCGAGGCTGACTACAAGGATCCCGACCCTTCCGCCTAGAACCCAACACCCAACTCCTGTAGAAGCCCTGCTGGAAAACCATCGTGGTCAATCAAACCCTTGAAGAGCCCATATAGGGCACTCACAGATTCCTTACAGCAGAACCGGTAAACCGCACGAAACACTACTAAAACCTTCGCGCCGTGAAACCTCCCAGGCCGTAAACCCCTCTTTGCGTCATCGATGGGTCCGCTTGATCTATGCTCACCTGTTGGGCTTGGGGATGCGGAGTTCAATCGTGTAAAGGCTCTTTGAAGGGTATAAAGGGCTTTGCTCAAAAACCCGAAAACCCTAAGCACTAAACTAAACCC